ATTTGGACACAGAAATAATATTTAGTCACTAAAAATTTGTCACAATAAACTACTTAAATTTGTGACGGACAAAATTATCACAAATAAATTAACTTTGGTTACTTGAAAAATATAAGTTACAAAAGAGAAATTTATGTCACAAATGCTCTTTTTTTCTTGTGACTAAAGTTATGATTTGTAACAAATATATTTTGTGACTCTATGTGATTTGTTACTAAAAAAATTCACAAGATGTAACAAAATTTTTTGTCACAATTAATCCACAATTTAATTTTAAAAAATAAATAAATTAGTTACAACAATATTAGTCACTATAAATTAGGTAAATATTTGTGACTAATAAAAATCTGCCACAAATAAAGAAATTTCATCATTTATAAATTTGGTAATGAAAACACTTAAATATCACCAAAATAAATGGTATCAACACTAAGAGCATGTCCAGCGTCAATAATCTGTCTTTGAATCCAAGTCCTACTTCTTTTCTCATATAGTTTCTTAAATTCATTTAGAAATCAGATTTAGCCAGATGATGGGCCATTGAATTTGCTTGACGCCTCACAGACGAAAATGAAAAAACATAACCTATGGATGCTAGCTGTAGTATATGGCCACAACTATTAGACAGAACCTCCATTCAAGCAAAATAAGGCCAAAATATATTTCGATTCTCTATAAAAAATATTTGGGTACTAAACTTTGATTATTTTTTAGTTTACACTTCTATCCATGACATCAAATCAAAAATTTTAAATTAATAAACATTGACTTGGCCTAATTCTTATAGGTAACACTAAAATTTGATTTAAAATTGTTGATATCTCATCATTTCCTTAGTCATAAGATCAAATCCATGCTTTATTAGGCAATTCAGAGAATGCATATGCTGATTTCTGAACCACCAAAAATGTAAATGAAAGTCATTTCTTTGACAAGCAAGGGTCCAATGGTCAATAGTATAATAACTGAATACGATTGAATAATAGTTCAAATGTTTCACTTAGAAGACAAACAAAATCAAAATAATTGAATCTTCTATAGTAAACACTGAGACCATTAATATAGCCACTGAGCTCCAATAAAGCATTTCATTTGAAGCTGGTCCATCATCACCTGAAAAATAAAATGAAACCAAAATATGATAAGGATATATCACAAAACCTTAGAACCTAAGGATGCTACACATGGTCATGGGCCAAGTTTACCATTAAAACATTGACAAGGATATATCAC